AACACTCATGAGCTCTTTCATGGTACGATTCATGGGATAAGCTGAATCGTGATCGTGTGAACTATCGACGACCATGGCTCGTTCACTTTTGACTCCCCACTGAAGACAAAGATCGTCTTTTTGCATCGTGAGAATTTGAGAACGTCTACCACCTACGAATAATCGTCACATCCATAACCAAGACAAAAATGACCTTGGAACGGGATTTGTTGGACATATTAGGTACGTCCGTTGCCGCTACAATAATACAAAGCTTTTTCTTCCATTTTTCATCTCTCCACATGGGTCAGCTTTTTCAGTAACAATCAGATGCTCCTGCATAGTCCGATTCACGGAATAAACTTAATCGTGATCGTGTGAACTGTCGACGACCCTCGCTCGTTCACTATTGACTCCCGACTGAAGACAAATATCGTCTTTTTGCATCGTGAGAATCTAAGAACGTCTACCGCCTACGAATAATCGTCACATCCATAACCAAGACAAAAATGACCTTGGAACGAGATTTGTTGGACATATTCGGTACGCCCATTGCCGCTACAATAATACAAAGCTTTTTCTTCCATTTTTCATCTCTCCACGTGGGTCAGCTTTTTCGGTAACAATCAGAAGCTCCTTCATGGTCCGATGATTCATGGAATAAATTGAATCGTGATCGTGTGAACTGTCGACGACCCTCGCTTATTCACTTTTGACTCCCCACTAAAGACAAAGATCGTTATTTTGCATCGTGAGAATCTGAGAACGTCTACCACGTACGAATAATCGTCACATCCATAACCAAGACAAAAATGACCTTGGAACGGGATTTGTTGGACATATTCGGTACACCCGTTGCCGCTACAATAATACAAAGCTTTTTCTTCCATTTTTCATCTCTCCACATGGGTCAGCTTTTTCAGTAACAATCACATGCTCCTGCATAGTCCGATTCACGGAATAAACTTAATCGTGATCGTGTGAACTGTCGACGACCCTCGCTCGTTCACTTTTGACTCCCCACTAAAGACAAAGATCGTCTTTTTGCATCGTGAGAATCTGAGAACGTCTACCACCTACGAATAATCGTCACATCCATAACCAAGACAAAAATGATCTTGGAACGGGATTTGTTGGACATATTGGGTGCGTCCATTGCCGCTACAATAATACAAAGCTTTTTCTTCCATTTTTCATCTCTCCACGTGGGTCAGCTTTTTCGGTAACAATCAGAATCTCCTTCATGGTCCGATTCATGGAATAAACTTAATCGTGATCGTGTGAACTGTCGACGACCCACGCTCGTTCACTTTTGACTCCCCACTAAAGAGAAAGATCGTCTTTTTGCATCGTGAGAATCTGAGAACGTCTACCACGTACGAATAATCGTCACATCCATAACCAAGACAAAAATGATCTTGGCACGGGATTTGTTGGACATATTAGGTACGCCCGTTGCCGCTACAATAATACAAAGCTTTTTCTTCCATTTTTCATCTCTCCACATGGGTCAGCTTTTTCAGTAACAATCAGATGCTCCTGCATAGTCCGATTCACGGAATAAACTTAATCGTGATCGTGTGAACTGTCGACGACCCTCGCTCGTTCACTATTGACTCCCGACTGAAGACAAATATCGTCTTTTTGCATCGTGAGAATCTAAGAACGTCTACCGCCTACGAATAATCGTCACATCCATAACCAAGACAAAAATGACCTTGGAACGAGATTTGTTGGACATATTCGGTACGCCCATTGCCGCTACAATAATACAAAGCTTTTTCTTCCATTTTTCATCTCTCCACGTGGGTCAGCTTTTTCGGTAACAATCAGAAGCTCCTTCATGGTCCGATGATTCATGGAATAAATTGAATCGTGATCGTGTGAACTGTCGACGACCCTCGCTCGTTCACTTTTGACTCCCCACTAAAGACAAAGATCGTCTTTTTGCATCGTGAGAATCTGAGAACGTCTACCACCTACGAATAATCGTCACATCCATAACCAAGACAAAAATGATCTTGGAACGGGATTTGTTGGACATATTGGGTGCGTCCATTGCCGCTACAATAATACAAAGCTTTTTCTTCCATTTTTCATCTCTCCACGTGGGTCAGCTTTTTCGGTAACAATCAGAATCTCCTTCATGGTCCGATTCATGGAATAAACTTAATCGTGATCGTGTGAACTGTCGACGACCCACGCTCGTTCACTTTTGACTCCCCACTAAAGAGAAAGATCGTCTTTTTGCATCGTGAGAATCTGAGAACGTCTACCACCTACGAATAATCGTCACATCCATAACCAAGACAAAAATGATCTTGGAACGGGATTTGTTGGACATATTGGGTGCGTCCATTGCCGCTACAATAATACAAAGCTTTTTCTTCCATTTTTCATCTCTCCACGTGGGTCAGCTTTTTCGGTAACAATCAGAATCTCCTTCATGGTCCGATTCATGGAATAAACTTAATCGTGATCGTGTGAACTGTCGACGACCCACGCTCGTTCACTTTTGACTCCCCACTAAAGAGAAAGATCGTCTTTTTGCATCGTGAGAATCTGAGAACGTCTACCACCTACGAATAATCGTCACATCCATAACCAAGACAAAAATGATCTTGGAACGGGATTTGTTGGACATATTGGGTGCGTCCATTGCCGCTACAATAATACAAAGCTTTTTCTTCCATTTTTCATCTCTCCACGTGGGTCAGCTTTTTCGGTAACAATCAGAATCTCCTTCATGGTCCGATTCATGGAATAAACTTAATCGTGATCGTGTGAACTGTCGACGACCCACGCTCGTTCACTTTTGACTCCCCACTAAAGACAAAGATCGTCTTTTTGCATCGTGAGAATCTGAGAACGTCTACCACCTACGAATAATCGTCACATCCATAACCAAGACAAAAATGATCTTGGAACGGGATTTGTTGGACATATTGGGTGCGTCCATTGCCGCTACAATAATACAAAGCTTTTTCTTCCATTTTTCATCTCTCCACGTGGGTCAGCTTTTTCGGTAACAATCAGAATCTCCTTCATGGTCCGATTCATGGAATAAACTTAATCGTGATCGTGTGAACTGTCGACGACCCACGCTCGTTCACTTTTGACTCCCCACTAAAGAGAAAGATCGTCTTTTTGCATCGTGAGAATCTGAGAACGTCTACCACGTACGAATAATCGTCACATCCATAACCAAGACAAAAATGATCTTGGCACGGGATTTGTTGGACATATTAGGTACGCCCGTTGCCGCTACAATAATACAAAGCTTTTTCTTCCATTTTTCATCTCTCCACATGGGTCAGCTTTTTCAGTAACAATCAGATGCTCCTGCATAGTCCGATTCACGGAATAAACTTAATCGTGATCGTGTGAACTGTCGACGACCCTCGCTCGTTCACTATTGACTCCCGACTGAAGACAAATATCGTCTTTTTGCATCGTGAGAATCTAAGAACGTCTACCGCCTACGAATAATCGTCACATCCATAACCAAGACAAAAATGACCTTGGAACGAGATTTGTTGGACATATTCGGTACGCCCATTGCCGCTACAATAATACAAAGCTTTTTCTTCCATTTTTCATCTCTCCACGTGGGTCAGCTTTTTCGGTAACAATCAGAAGCTCCTTCATGGTCCGATGATTCATGGAATAAATTGAATCGTGATCGTGTGAACTGTCGACGACCCTCGCTTATTCACTTTTGACTCCCCACTAAAGACAAAGATCGTTATTTTGCATCGTGAGAATCTGAGAACGTCTACCACGTACGAATAATCGTCACATCCATAACCAAGACAAAAATGACCTTGGAACGGGATTTGTTGGACATATTCGGTACGCCCGTTGCCGCTACAATAATACAAAGCTTTTTCTTCCATTTTTCATCTCTCCACATGGGTCAGCTTTTTCAGTAACAATCACATGCTCCTGCATAGTCCGATTCACGGAATAAACTTAATCGTGATCGTGTGAACTGTCGACGACCCTCGCTCGTTCACTATTGACTCCCGACTGAAGACAAATATCGTCTTTTTGCATCGTGAGAATCTAAGAACGTCTACCGCCTACGAATAATCGTCACATCCATAACCAAGACAAAAATGACCTTGGAACGAGATTTGTTGGACATATTCGGTACGCCCATTGCCGCTACAATAATACAAAGCTTTTTCTTCCATTTTTCATCTCTCCACGTGGGTCAGCTTTTTCGGTAACAATCAGAAGCTCCTTCATGGTCCGATGATTCATGGAATAAATTGAATCGTGATCGTGTGAACTGTCGACGACCCTCGCTTATTCACTTTTGACTCCCCACTAAAGACAAAGATCGTTATTTTGCATCGTGAGAATCTGAGAACGTCTACCACGTACGAATAATCGTCACATCCATAACCAAGACAAAAATGACCTTGGAACGGGATTTGTTGGACATATTCGGTACGCCCGTTGCCGCTACAATAATACAAAGCTTTTTCTTCCATTTTTCATCTCTCCACGTGGGTCAGCTTTTTCGGTAACAATCAGAATCTCCTTCATGGTCCGATTCATGGAATAAACTTAATCGTGATCGTGTGAACTGTCGACGACCCACGCTCGTTCACTTTTGACTCCCCACTAAAGAGAAAGATCGTCTTTTTGCATCGTGAGAATCTGAGAACGTCTACCACGTACGAATAATCGTCACATCCATAACCAAGACAAAAATGATCTTGGCACGGGATTTGTTGGACATATTAGGTACGCCCGTTGCCGCTACAATAATACAAAGCTTTTTCTTCCATTTTTCATCTCTCCACATGGGTCAGCTTTTTCAGTAACAATCAGATGCTCCTGCATAGTCCGATTCACGGAATAAACTTAATCGTGATCGTGTGAACTATCGACGACCCACGCTCGTTCACTTTTGACTCCCCACTGAAGACAAAGATCGTCTTTTTGCTTCGTGAGAATCTGAGAGCATCTACCACCTACGAATAATCGTCACATCCATAACCAAGACAAAAATGACCTTGGAACGGGATTTGTTGGACATGTTCGGTACGTCCATTGCCGCTACAATAATACAAAGCTTTTTCTTCCATTTTTCATCTCTCCACATCGGTCAGCTTTTTCAGTAATAATCAGATGCTCCTGCATAGTCCGATTCACGGAATAAACTTAATCGTGATCGTGTGAACTGTCGACGACCCTCGCTCGTTCACTTTTGACTCCCCCTAAAGACAAAGATCGTCTTTTTGCATCGTGAGAATCTGAGAACGTCTACCACCTACGAATAATCGTCACATCCATAACCAAGACAAAAATGACCTTGGAACGGGATTCGTTGGACATATTCGGTACGCCCGTTGCCGCTACAGTAATACAAAGCTTTTTCTTCCATTTTTCATCTCTCCACAAGGGTCAGCTTTTTTAGTAAGAATCAGAAGCTCCTTCATGGTCCGATTCACGGAATAAACTTAATCGTGATCGTGTGAACTGTCGACGACCCACGCTCGTTCACTTTTGACTCCCCACTAAAGAGAAAGATCGTCTTTTTGCATCGTGAGAATCTGAGAACGTCTACCACGTACGAATAATCGTCACATCCATAACCAAGACAAAAATGATCTTGGCACGGGATTTGTTGGACATATTAGGTACGCCCGTTGCCGCTACAATAATACAAAGCTTTTTCTTCCATTTTTCATCTCTCCACATGGTGCTCCTGCATAGTCCGATTCACGGAATAAACTTAATCGTGATCGTGTGAACTGTCGACGACCCTCGCTCGTTCACCTTTGACTCCCCACTAAAGACAACGATCGTCTTTTTGCATCGTGAGAATCTGAGACCGTCTACCACCTACGAATAATCGTCATATCCATAACCAAGACAAAAATGATCTTGGAACGGGATTTGTTGGACATATTAGGTACGCCCGCTGCCGCTACAATAATACGAAATTTTTTCTTCCATTTTTCATCTCTCCACATGGGTCAGTTTTTTCAGTAACAATCAGATGCTCCTACATAGTCCGATTCACGGAATAAACTTAATCGTGATTGTGTGAACTGTCGATGACCCACGCTCGTTCACTTTTGACTCCTCACTAAAGAGAAAGCTCGTGTTTTTGCATCGTGAGAATCTGAGAACGTCTACCACCTACGAATAATCTTCACATCCATAACCAAGACAAAAATGATCTTGGAACGGGATTTGTTGGACATATTCGGTACGCCCGTTGCCGCTACAATAATACAAAGCTTTTTCTTCCATTTTGGTCAACTTTTTCAGTAACAATCAGAAGCTCCTTCATGGTCCGATTCATGGGATAAGCTGAATCGTGATCGTGTGAACTATCGACGACCCACGCTCGTTCACTTTTGACTCCCCACTAAAGAGAAAGATCGTCTTTTTGCATCGTGAGAATCTGAGAACGTCTACCACCTACGAATAATCGTCACATCCATAACCAAGACAAAAATGATCTTGGCACGGGATTCGTTGGACATATTCTGCACGCCCGTTGCCGCTTCAATAATACAAAGCTTTTTCTTCCATTTTTCATCTCTCCACATGGGTCAGCTTTTTCAGTAACAATCAGAAGCTTCTTCATGGTCCGATTCATGGGATAAGCTGAATCGTGATCGTGTGAACTATCGACGACCCACGCTCGTTCACTTTTGACTCCCCACTGAAGACAAAGATCGTCTTTTTGCATCGTGAGAATCTGAGAACATCTACCACCTACGAATAATCGTCACATCCATAACCAAGACAAAAATGATCTTGGAACGGGATTCGTTGGACATATTGGGTGCGTCCATTACCGCTACAATAATACAAAGCGTTTTCTTCCAATTTTCATCTAACCTCGTGGGTCAGCTTTTTCAGTAACAATCAGATGCTCCTTCATGGTCCGATTCACGGAATAAACTTAATCGTGATCGGTTGAACTGTCGACGAACCTCGCTCGTTTACTTTTGACTCCCCACTGAAGACAAAGATTGTCTTTTTGCATCGTGAGAATCTGAGAACGTCTACCACCTACGAATAACATCCATAACCAAGACAAAAATGATCTTGGAACGGGATTCGTTGGACATATTGGGTGCGTCCATTGCCGCTACAATAATACAAAGCTTTTTCTTCCATTTTTCATCTCTCCAGATGGGTCAGCTTTTTCAGTAACAATCAGAAGCTCCTTCATGGTCCGATTCACGGAATAAACTTAATCGTGATCGTGTGAACTGTCGACGACCCACGCTCGTTCACTTTTGACTCCCCACTGAAGACAAAGATCGTCTTTTTGCATCGTGAGAATCTGAGAACGTCTACCACCTACGAATAATCGTAACATCCATAACCAAGACAAAAATGACCTTGGAACGGGATTTGTTGGACATATTCGGTACGCCCGTTGCCGCTACAGTAATACAAAGCTTTTTCTTCCATTTTTCATCTCTCCACAAGGGTCAGCTTTTTCAGTAACAATCAGAAGCTCCTTCATGGTCCGATTCACGGAATAAACTTAATCGTGATCGTGTGAACTGTCGACGACCCACGCTCGTTCACTTTTGACTCCCCACTGAAGACAAAGATCGTCTTTTTGCATCGTGAGAATCTGAGAACGTCTACCACCTACGAATAATCGTAACATCCATAACCAAGACAAAAATGACCTTGGAACGGGATTTGTTGGACATATTCGGTACGCCCGTTGCCGCTACAGTAATACAAAGCTTTTTCTTCCATTTTTCATCTCTCCAGATGGGTCAGCTTTTTCAGTAACAATCAGAAGCTCCTTCATGGTCCGATTCACGGAATAAACTTAATCGTGATCGTGTGAACTGTCGACGACCCACGCTCGTTCACTTTTGACTCCCCACTGAAGACAAAGATCGTCTTTTTGCATCGTGAGAATCTGAGAACGTCTACCACCTACGAATAATCGTAACATCCATAACCAAGACAAAAATGACCTTGGAACGGGATTTGTTGGACATATTCGGTACGCCCGTTGCCGCTACAGTAATACAAAGCTTTTTCTTCCATTTTTCATCTCTCCACAAGGGTCAGCTTTTTCAGTAACAATCAGAAGCTCCTTCATGGTCCGATTCACGGAATAAACTTAATCGTGATCGTGTGAACTGTCGACGACCCACGCTCGTTCACTTTTGACTCCCCACTGAAGACAAAGATCGTCTTTTTGCATCGTGAGAATCTGAGAACATCTACCACCTACGAATAATCGTCACATCCATAACCAAGACAAAAATGATCTTGGAACGGGATTCGTTGGACATATTGGGTGCGTCCATTACCGCTACAATAATACAAAGCGTTTTCTTCCAATTTTCATCTCACCTCGTGGGTCAGCTTTTTCAGTAACAATCAGATGCTCCTTCATGGTCCGATTCACGGAATAAACTTAATCGTGATCGGTTGAACTGTCGACGAACCTCGCTCGTTTACTTTTGACTCCCCACTGAAGACAAAGATCGTCTTTTTGCATCGTGAGAATCTGAGAACGTCTACCACCTACGAATAATCGTAACATCCATAACCAAGACAAAAATGACCTTGGAACGGGATTTGTTGGACATATTCGGTACGCCCGTTGCCGCTACAGTAATACAAAGCTTTTTCTTCCATTTTTCATCTCTCCACAAGGGTCAGCTTTTTCAGTAACAATCAGAAGCTCCTTCATGGTCCGATTCACGGAATAAACTTAATCGTGATCGTGTGAACTGTCGACGACCCACGCTCGTTCACTTTTGACTCCCCACTGAAGACAAAGATCGTCTTTTTGCATCGTGAGAATCTGAGAACATCTACCACCTACGAATAATCGTCACATCCATAACCAAGACAAAAATGATCTTGGAACGGGATTCGTTGGACATATTGGGTGCGTCCATTACCGCTACAATAATACAAAGCGTTTTCTTCCAATTTTCATCTCACCTCGTGGGTCAGCTTTTTCAGTAACAATCAGAAGCTGCTTCATGGTCCGATTCATGGGATAAGCTGAATCGTGATCGTGTGAACTATCGACGACCCACGCTCGTTCACTTTTGACTCCCCACTAAAGACAAAGATCGCCTTTTTGCATCGTGAGAATCTGAGAACGTCTACCACCTACGAATAGTCCTCACATCCATAACCAAGACCAAAATGACCTTGGAACGGGATTTGTTGAACATATTCGGTACGCCCGTTGCCGCTACAGTAATACAAAGCTTTTTCTTCCATTTTTCATCTCTCCACATGGGTCAGCTTTTTCAGTAACAATCAGATGCTCCTGCATAGTCCGATTCACGGAATAAACTTAATCGTGATCGTGTGAACTATCGACGACCCACGCTTGTTCACTTTTGACTCCCCACTGAAGACAAAGATCGTTATTTTGCATCGTGAGAATCTGAGAAGGTCTACCACGTACGAATAATCGTTACATCCATAACCAACACAAAAATGATCTTGGAACGGGATTTGTTGGACATATTAGGTACGCCCGTTGCCGCTACAATAATACAAAGCTTTATCTTCCATTTTCCATCTCTCCACATGGGTCAGCTTTTTCAGTAACAATCAGATGCTCCTGCATAGTCCGATTCACGGAATAAACTTAATCGTGATCGTGTGAACTGTCGACGACCCTCGCTGGTTCACTTTCGACTCCCTACTGAAGACAGAGATCGACTTCTTCTTTAGAGCTCCGCCTGGTGGTAAATCCACGCTCGACCGCCTCAGATCGTCTACCAACTACGAACAAACACAACATCCATATACCATAATACAAAGTGTGATTGCAAAGAGCACAAATCGGCCCTGAGAACGAACAAGACGTAATGTAAACGTAGATGTGGAGCAAGTAGGCACTTCGGGCGTTTGTTTAAGCTTTGTTTTCAAGAGCCGCACACTCCTTCTCAAAGCTAATGGCGTTTCCCTTTCGAGCAGTGCTGGAAAGCGCCTCGAGTGATGTCACCTAGTTGAAATAGCAGGAAATTATTCACTCGCAGAGGCGACGATTCATCAGGTACCTCGGAATCTTG